GGGTCGGGCGGGCGCGGGGGTCAATCTCGGGGTACGGGGGTCGGCACCCCCGCGGGAGGGGGTCCGGGGGTGAAATCCCGGCCCCGGCTTTGGCCCCGGGGGTCCCCGGGTGACAACCCTGGTCCGGATCACTGGACAGTCCGGACCGGTCCAGACAGTGGTCCGGAAGACAGTCCGGAAGTGTCCGGTGTCCGGATCCGGGGTTACCATGGTTATTTTTATTATTATTGTTTGGGTGTGTTTTTGTTTGCTAGTACTGTGAAATTTGCTTTATTGTTATCACAAATGTGGTAGTTATTTGTCATTTATTGGTGTTATTAGGCAAAAATAATTTATTGTTTAACTTTTATGCGGGTGCGTGAGTGTGGGATGCTGCATATGTGGGTCTGTGCGTGTATAAAATAAGTGTGTGTAGCTGTGTATGTGTGTGATTGTTAAGTGTGATTGTAGGTGGGGTGAATTATGTGTGTCACAGTGTGTGAGTGTGTGTGTGTGGGTGTGTGGGTGTGTATATATTTATGCTTGTGAGTATGTGTATAGGGAGTGTGTATATGTTTGGAAAGAGTGTGTGTGGGGAGCTTTTTCTGTGTGTGTGTGGAGAGTATATGTGTCCGTGGGGGGGTATATGTGTGAGAGAGTAAATGTGTATGCGTGTGTGTGTGTGTGTTGTCATATTCGCTATACACTCGAAAAAAGCATGACTGTACCAGACTGTTTCTTCGGACTTGTGTGTGTGTGTGTGTTGTCATGTTCGCTATACACAACTCCACAGAGAAAAGCATGACTGTGCCAGACTGTTTCATCAGACTTTCACCGACTCATCAGGAGGTTGAACTGCTGAATCCCAACAGTGGCCCCAGGATGCATTTGACTGATGGATAAGGACTCACTACCTCGGCCAGAGTTAGCAAGACCTCTGAGAAAAGTGATCGACTTTACTCACACCAACTTTGGAATTTTGTGTGTGTAAGTGTGTGTGTGACACTCTGTGTGTGTGTGTGTGTGTGTGTGTGTGTGTGTGTGTGTGTGTGTGTGTGTGTGCGTGCACACGATCATGGTTACTATGCACGCAGAGGTT